ATGCAGAACAGAAAGATCATCCTTCCCCGAGTCCCTGGCTGAGCTGACAGCCACTGTGTCTTTTCACAGCGATGCCAGTTTGACTCTAAGCATCACTAACGCTCTGTGGAAAAGTAAATAACAACAAAAGTATTGCCACTTGGAATTAAGATTAAATAATGCTTTCCAGTCTGTTACATGATTTATCTAAGAGACTGTGCAGACATTTTATTTCTAATGCACTGCATGTGTTAAGCAGTCATCTGCACACCCCTTTGGCTGCGGGGGAAGAGCCGAGCCACGCTGCAGTACCTGTGATTGTCCCCAAACAGCACCCGAAATGACTCGGCCAAGCGAGCTGATGGTCAGGCTGGGTTGCTTATTTCCAGGTCCTGATGCTGACTAGTTAAATGGCTAAAACCAACCGGTGACAAAAGCATCTCTCTCCAGTCAATTGCTTTTGTTTTAACTATTTCTTTTCTATACATTTATCAGGAGAAAGCTTCTCCACCCCCAGCATATGTTTGCATTTTTCTTACTAACTCCCTAGTGAAAATGTTTTTGTAGAAACAGTGTTTTATTTTTTTTCCTTCCAACAAATTCAAGGCAGAGCCCAAGCTCCCCAGGTTTTTGTCAAAACAAACAGTGTTTTTCAAATATTTTGACTTAATGAAAACATCAGGTAAACTGAAACAAATACTGTCCCGTGCAGGGCTCCACTGTGGCGACTGGGTATTAGTAATAGCATTCATTCCCCAGTGGCAGCATGCAACTAGTCTCTCTGCTCTCTTCCCCCATCCCCTGCCTCATCTCTTCTGCATCCTCCAGCCCAAAACGTCTCAGGATTGCCCAGCCATCCTAGTCGTTGAGGTTGGTTTGACAGAGGAACTTTGTTTTCCTTGTCCTTTTGGAGGCTGCATTTCTTGCTCTTGCAGAATAAATACAAAATATAGACCGTCATACCGGGTATAAGAGAACGTGGGCAAGGTGGTGAAGCTTAAATATAATCTCTGTTGCTGTATATAGAAATTCCTGCTTTCAGGGTCTGAGTTTTTCATAGTTGTAAGAGTTAAACTTGCATGTGTTACATCTAACTAACCTTCTTCATTTTTAGCAGAACACTAATTTAGACCGCAATTATTTTGCTAGCTCTAAAGGAAAACGTCTGGTGGAATATGTCTTCCAGATACTAAGTACTTCATTTTTATACCCTTGCCAATCTTCAAGAGAGACAGAGACACACTCCCTTCGCTATGCAGCAGTCTGGGCAGATACACATGTTGAGTAGGCTGGTCCTGCTCCATTATCCCTATTTAATTTCCCTGTAACTATCCATGAAGCAGAGTATCATTCAAACCAAAAAGCAACTGGCAACCTGAGACTCCACTGGCTGAAGTTTACTCCGCGTAGCCTCTTTAGAAAGTCAAGCCATGCTGCTCATGTGCACAATTTGGCTTCTTGCTTGCCAGATGTTTACAAAATAAAGTAATATTCTGCTCTTGCTGACCAACAGAGAGAAAAATGAACACTTCCCCCCGCTCCCCCCCCAAATGTTTGTATGTTCTGGTCACCGCGAATACATCCTTCCGCAGGTCCTATGGCACAGGACCAGGATTAGACTCATTTCTTTTAACACTGCCATTTATGCCTTCTCATCGCTGCACGACTCTTTTTTAAAGGAAGATATACCTCAGTCAGCCATTGCCTGTGTATAAATAGAGACTACCCCTCGTCCTTTGGCCTCTTAAAAGGCCATTTACTACCCCAGCTGCCTGTACTCCCTGCGTGCTGTTCCAGAGGGCCTTGGCTACAACACTTTAATGTCCTGTCAGACTTAAAGCATTTAAGTGAGAGCTGACACAAGTGGAAGCCATGCCATGACCTGCGCAGTGTAACCTCACTTGTACTGCACTGGAAAAGTCTTTTTTTTTTTTTCTTTTCCCCCTCTTTATTGCACTAACGGCTTCGAGGATATTGGTCTCTGGCCCCAGAAGCGCCGGTTGGAGCTCGGCTCCGCTCCCCAGCTGCGGGGTTTTGGTGCAGCTCAGAATAAGACAGCGTTAAGCCGTTAAGCACGTCTACGCTTCTTTTAGTTTGAGCCCACCAAGCTCTATTTTGTGCTTCTTCCCCTCAACAGCTTGAAATCAGGTGTCAAACACGCATTAGCCACAGCCTGTCCTCACTGCAGGAAACGTCAGGATGGCGAAGGGTGGCCCGAGGGGAGAAATTAAGATGCTTTACCAACGCGGCACACTCGGAAACAGGACCAGCCCTCTGGGCATGGCAACACTTGTCCTGGCTGGAGTGTGCCGTGGCAAAGGATGCTGATAGGAATCTTCAAGTTACCCGTAAACTTGCCTTCTGCTTTCTTTTCTCTTCGTACTTTACTTGTTCCTCTGGTACCAGGTTTAGCTATACCTTTTTTTCATCCCTCTCTGCTGTCTTGCTCAGCTAAAAGTAGCAGGCTCTGCCTTGCCAGGGGTGGGAATGGCCCAGGATGGGCTTGGCACCTACAGCCCCTCCAATGCACCAAGTCGTCAGCAGTGTCCGCTCGGGCCCGTTGCATTCAGCCAGGGCAAAGCTCTCTGGGGAAACTCCAAGTCTCTGCCACACTGCAGCTTTTGTTTGCTGTTTGGGGAGGGAATGAAAGCTTCAGTTGTTAGTTGGCCAATAATTCTAATTACTTTTGGCCATGAGGCCTGGCTCGAGTAATGGGCTATTTTTTATTTTCTTTCCCAAGCCCCAAGAACAACAGACACATCCACCTTTTTAAATTTTAATCCTGTCCAATGCAGTCAGACTTTTGCTCGATGGTTGCAACCCATGGATTGCAAGTGCATTTTACATCTGCGTAGCCTGCCAACGACCCGCTCCCAATTACAACCCCCTGCGTGTACAGCTATTTCATCAAGTCATCACGCGCCGCCATCTCTCTCCATGCAAACTGGCCTGTCTGCAGCCTGACCATCCCCTGGGGTTGAAACTTTTCCTTTGTCATACAATGCTCTCCTAGAGAATCCTCGTCACTTTTGGGCTAAAACCAGGCCTTTCCACTGCCATCCTCGTGTTAGGCACAACCCAGAAACCCCTCCCTGCCTGTTGTAGCTGCGTCCTCCATTTCTGTCCCTCTACACATCAGGCTGGTTTAGTTGGAGACCTAAGACAGCTAGACCTAGCTGGAGCTGCCCGCTGGGGAGCACAGGACAATTTTCACAGCGCTTCCAACAGACTTGAATTTTTTTGGTTTACTTGAGAAGTTTGAAACAACTTAAAAAAAAATTTTTTTTTTTTTTAAATGATGGTGTATTTGCATGTTGGCTGTTTTATAACCATCAGCTGTGCACCGATCTAAATTGCTGGTCTCCTTGGTGGCGAGGTACTGCAGTGTGCCACGGGAGGTGGAGTCCAGCTGGAGAATGAGCTAAAGAAAGACTAAGATCCCCAGTCCTGCAAACTAGTGCATCTCTCCAGGCACCGTGGCAGCAGCTCCAAACAAAAGAAAAAAATACATCTCAAGTTTCCACCAAATTGATGGCCGAATCTAGAAACTCTTACCCCTTGTGTGTGTTGGTTTTTAACAGTAAATCAAATTGTTCAGTGGAAATCACTCGATACCCAAAGCGTGATGAGGGAAGAAAGAGTTAAAATGGGGACATTTCAGCCAGTTGCCATTTTTTAATCGTAATTTAAACTTTGCAAAGAACAGGACTCTGCCTTCTCTTATTCCCCCTTATTCTGCCATACTCGCACAGAAAATGTCTTTGCTAGGGACTCTCCCTTTGGTTCATGCTGCCAAACTGCACTGTGTTTCAAGGTAGTTATGGTGTCTGCTAAATATTGTAAAGCACAACATTTATAAAGAATGGCAAGGAAAGGAGCCAAATAGATGTAAGATATTTCATTTTCTTAATGCAGAACCTGCCCTGTCTGTCCATAGTTTATCATAGCTGTCAGTTGCTGAGGCTTTTAAAATGGATATTTCATCTCTTCAGCTTTGTCCCAGAGATGATGAATATCTTATAAATGGGACAACTGTATACAAGAATCTGAGGAACACATTTGTATTTGTTTTTCTGAGAACGCAAGCATTTTGTTTGTTAAGTCATGCTAAAAGTTCCAATAACAAACCAAAAGGGGAGACCATCCAGATAACTAAAAAGTCTGGGTTGCCAATGCCTGATGTTCATTGGGGAAGAAACGTGTTGTGTTTTCTTAGAGGAGAACATTTCCTTTGTGCTCTTTCATCCCTGGGTGGAAATATTTTAATAATTTTACTTGTAACATGCCAGGTATTCGAAAGAAGACTATTTCATAGGAATATATCAGATTTGATTAAATTTTTGTTATGGGTTTTGGCAGGAAAGAGCTGGGACAAGGGGAAGAGATTAAAAAAAAAAAATACAATGTGGACAAAGCAGGGAATTACACCTAGTTCTCCTACCACCTACCTGAATGCCTTGACCACCACACTAATTCATTATTTTGGGGCATGTTTTGCCAGGTCATTCCTGC